TTAAACGAGAAAGCACTAGGCTGTTAGTTTTAGATGCGTTCACTCGCATGCCGGTCACGTCGCACTCAGTTTTGATCCTTTCTAGGGAGCTTTGTAAATCAGTTTCAAAAGATTCGAATAAAATAAGGAACTCTGCAAACATTAAACTTCTCTTTTCCACATCTCCTACACTAATACACTCATCGCTGTTGTTGCACCTTACTATTCTATTCATGTAGAACACAAACAAGAGAGGGCACAGGGCGCAGCCTTGGCGGAGGCCAGTGCCAACGTTGAAAGGTTTTGACGTAACGCCATTTACTCTCTCGCGCACCTGCTATCAGAATACAGTGATTGGATGGCCCTTTCTGGGTCAACAAAACACGTTCACCAGATGGGCGTACTCCCACGATTTATCATCAGTCTGCCGCAGGGCAGATACATGGTCATGGGTGCTTTGATCGGGCCGAAGCCACACTTTTTTGTATCTTGAAGTCAGTTATTCCACGGCATCTCTTTTCTAGCACGTTTGCGTAGACCTTACCTAGGACGCTCAATAATGTAATGCCCTGATAATTGGAGCACTTCTTGTGGTCTCCCTTGAATATGGGTACAACAGCTCCCGTTCTCCTGTCCGCTGGTGTTTTCCCGTAGTCAGCGCACATTAACAGACACGTGTAAGCCAGTGCACGCCTTGTTCGTTTAATGCCTTGAGCATTTCAGGGCGAATTTCATCAATTCCATCAGCCTTTCCATTTTTCTGTGTATTCAGAGTTTGTGTAATTTCATCTACATAGATATTAATGTCCGTTACCTGCTGCTCTACAAGCGAGTCTTCCTATTGTTCCTCAATGTACTTCCTCCATCGCCGAGAAGTGTCATCATCCTTGGTAAGAGATGCCCTTCTTTGCACCTCGGAGCCGGCGGATAGTTTGCCAGAATACCTTGTTTGCCGTGTGGAAATTCGACTCCAACACGTCTCGAAACTTCTCACAGGAATCAGCTTTGGCTTTCGCTGCTTCTTTCGCTGCCGCATGCATTGCGTGCCTGAACATATCAAACGCGAAGGCTCTTAGTTTCCAGCCATTTCCTGAACGCTGCCTTATTCCCTTTAACTGCCAGTTATACCTCTCGTGTCCACCAGGAGGATCTTTTCTGACCTAAAAATGGCAGGATAACCCGTTTGAATCCGCAGCCATTCGGCGGCAGCCTCGAGTAGGCCTCTCTTAAACAGCTGCCACTCGGTTTCAACATCAGTTGTCATCACCGTGATATGTTCAAACCGTCGTGCGATGTTGTTTGCAAATTTCGCTCTCATATCAACCGAAGGTAATGTTTTCCATTTGATTCTCTAGTTGCTTCTTCCGCCAGATTTTCATGTGATACTCCATTTCTTTGAGGGCAGCATGCCAAGAACATGGCGGTGATTGG